TATGTGTGTGTGTTTGTGTTCTGGTATATATGGTTTATGAGGACACAAATGTGTATAATGACATGGGTACTACAATGTACGTTTAAGAGGATACTTCCTGTGTCCCCGTAAACCAAAGGGTTAAAAAACATACTAAATGGTGTTTTATGAAAATCTAAAATTGGCAGTAGTTTTCTGTAAGGGGTAGGTTTAGGTGTAGGGTGATCGAAAATACACTTTGTACAGTATAAAAACCATTACGCCTACGAGTCCCCGTAATTTAAACCACAAATGCAAGTATGTGTGTGTGTGTGAGTAGATATATCATTCTTTTCACACACATTTTATGTCATTTCAGTATTTTAAGTAATTGTATTTTATTTATCGACAATAACCCTGTTTCGCCACGGACTTCTATTTCTTAGTTTAATCTGAAGTACAAATAAAAAAAATAAATAAAAACTAAAACCAATAAATAATGAATAAATCCTATAGCTATATTTCAAGAAAAAAAAATCTAAAGTAACTATAAACTAAAACCAATAAAAATGACAGAAAACAACTGAATTAAATTCAACTGAAAATCAAATGGAAACAAAATATAATTAATCTAATTCAAAATATTAACAAAAACTATAATAGTATATCAATGATACAAAAATAACAGTTTTTCATAATATCATCCTCAGGAAGTCATACAGGTTTGGAATAACATAAGAATGTGAAAACTCATTTTTTGCTGAACTATCCCTTAAGACTTATAAACATGTGCTGTCTACAGGCGTCTGACTTGTAATTTAGCAGATGACTTTCATTCTGAGCAACCTTATAAAAGTACCCGAGATATTCCTCAGTTTCAGATGTAACTCTCTGGTTTAAACCCCGATCCTACTTGGGGGTCAAACCTCAAAGTTCAGTGCATGGAACAACCACTGAAGGCCTTTTTATAGCTATGAAAATTAAATCTAGCACTTAATAACTGTATGTGAAACCAAGCAAAGGGAAGTAGAAGCATGAGAGCTATTTTTTTATGGTCATCGTTCTGCGAGAAGGAAGTTTAAAAAAATTGAAGCACAGTTAACACATTGTAGCCCATAAAAACAGACAGACCACTACTTTTCCCACCACTTTGCAAGTAAAAAGTCTTCCAGTAGTTACTAAGCAAGGCTTAATCAGGCCGTCTTGTGTCCTTCTTACCGTTGTGTCTCCGGTGCACTACACTAGGTGTTGACTGGATGCCGTCTGGTTCAGAGGTAGGCGTCTCCTGCCCGTTCATCTGCGCGATGTCAATGACGGCATACACTTCAGAACTGTCCATTTTTTCTGGTTTGCAGAAATCATCCTCTGATATCCAAGATGTGGATTTCTGAGACACATAAAGGTGCAGATTTTAAGTGGCTAGAGACAGAAACACCGTCAGGTTAACAACATATAAATAAAAACTTTGTATACAAACAGTTTCAAAGCGGTTTTATATAAACTCTTTAATGATATAATTATGTTTCTGCTGTTGCGGTCATGATTCTGATTTATTTAAACAACCTGTTAGTGACGTCTCATTTAAGTTCAAATTAGTGTTGTCAAACGATTAATCGCGATAATTCGCATCTAAAACTAAAGGTATGTTTACATAATATATGCATGTGTACTGTGTTTATTTATGATGTTTATATAAATACACACACGGATGTGTACATTTAATAAAAAATGTATTTATATATTAAATGTTTATATTATAGAAGTATAAATGTATATATATATATATATATTTATATATACATAATAAATATACACAGTACACACATACATATGTAAACAAAAACGTTTATTTTGGATGCGATTAATCACAATTAATCGTTTGACAGCACTAGTCAAAATATAGAGAATATGTAATATAGTGCATATATTTAGCAAAATTATCCTTTCTAGAGTTATTTTTAAAGCAGCTATCAAGCTTTGGATGATATGTGACATTATTTTTTACAAGCCGTTTTATTTATGTCTTTTAGCGGTTGCATGAGAAATTATACATTTCGGTAAATCTTTCAACACGTTCTCATGTTTTTTTTTGTGGTGTAACTAGAGGAAGAACTGATTGGTTCACTTGTGCTTTGAATCTCATTAACTGTGCTACATTTGCATAGGAAAAGTAACAAAACAAAGCTTACTGCAGTTTGGTTCGTGCATTAAGTGAAAACAGCATAGACTGAAAACTGGTTCATCAAAATGAAGATCGATTAATCTAGATTAATAACCCAGCACTAGTTCAGAGTATGTGTGTGAATGTAAGTGTTTTGTGACTGAATCACTCATACTGTCAATTCATTTTGAAAAGCTGATACAATATCAAAGTTCATTTGGTGGACCAATTAGATAAACCTATAAAGTGAGTTATATGCTTAATGCCTGAAAACACTCACGCAGGAGGAATACAGAGAGTCGGAGGAGGTTTTCCTGCTGATGGTACTTGCGGAGCGTCTGTATGCAGCATGTTGGGTTTGCTCCACTGAACTAGAGGCGACAGGGGTCTCAGAAGGAAGAGCGTCAGGGTCTTTAAGGTCAGAGGTCTTCTCAACCGTCTCAGTCGAAGCAGAAACTGAAGGGGAATCAACAGACGAGTTCTTCTGCTCGCTTTCTGGAGTCTCGGTGACTGTGGCGGTTTTAACTAGAGTCTTGGATTCTTCCGTCTCAGCTGATATGTTTTCTGAGCATGCTTTAGATTGCTCCGAGATGTGTGCATCTGATCGAGGTGTGTCCTGTGCAGCTGCTGGAGACGCATCAGGCTTGTGCGTGTTGTCATTAACAGCTTGTGCTGCAGAGTCTGAAGCTGGTCTGAACACATCAAAGTGTTCCTTCAAGTCCTGATTAGAGGAACTGCTGACACTGGAAACAAACAAGCACAACTGCAGGTTACAAAATTTCGACTCACAAAAATGAATTCATCAATTCATTTCTTTCACATTTACTTTGTCCTAACTAGAATTGTCGCAACAAGCTTTCAAGCATGGAGGTTTCTGAGCTCAGTAACAGAAGCAGCAAAACCACAGCCAAGTACATACTTCATATGTAATGTTCAGCTGAATAAAAGTATTTTGGATGGTAAAGAAAATACAAAAACAAGCAACTGACACAATGTTTTACTGCATGAAGCTGTTGGTGGTTGGCTCAAAATCTGGGTCAGATGGTCCAATGCTTAACAATCAATTAGAGACACTGTCTATGGAGTTTGACATGAATATTTTTTAATCAGGATGCTTTAAAAGTAATTAATTTAGAGCCGCTAAGCAGGTTTTGGCACATTAACAGCATATTGACAGCAATACTTTGAAAATCAGCATGCTGGAACATGCATTTGGATGTCGACTTGAACCAGTGTCATTATACAGGACTTTTTATTTGAGACTCACCAACTAATCTATATTGAAAATTCATAGCTCTGCACAAACCTAATTACAACAAGATGATTTCTCCCTTGACACATTGCATAGAGTCATAAGAGTGGTAAGACTTTAACAGAACAGACTTCTACTCACTCTGTGGCGGTGATCTCCTGTTGTGCGTTTTGGCTGATCTCCGTGTCACAACTCCAGTGCTCCTTCTCTGGACTCCTGAGCTCCTGACCCTGCAGCAGACTATCAGAGCTCAGGCTGGAGGACAGCTGTGACGATCCTGACGTGTCCAGACTCAGGTTTGACGTGGTCAGCGGCGTGTTCGGCTCACAGCCCTCGCTCTGTTCTCTCCTCGGCTCCCTCTGGAGCACCTCCTGAGCCCAATCTGAGCTTCCAGACCCTCCGGATGACTGGGAGACAGTATCCCAAGACTCCTTGCACTTGGGGCCTACAAGGTGCTCGTCGGCAGGCGTTGGGGGACACAGACCCGCGAGGACCAGGGGTGTGTTGGTCCACTCATTCAGCACAGCTGATTTATAGGAGAGCTGGAAGGTCATCGAGGACAAACCCTGCAGGAGGGTGAGGAGAACCTCGCGGTCCTCCGGGTCCAGCAAAAGAGCCCCGGGCTGGTAGTAGGAGCCCAGGTTGGAGCCTTCGCGAAGCAGCGAGGTCAGGTAACACTCCAGAAGCCCGTCATTTAGCGCCAGGCGAACCCATGCTCTGCAGCGGCCAATGTCTGAGTTTATGAAGCTTAGACGTTCCAGTTCTTGAACTACATCCCTATAGTGTCAAAAACAAGCATGTGAAACATTATAAGGTTAGTTCACCCAAAAATAAAATGTCATGGTTTTACATATTCATGCACTCACGTACCAAATAAGTAAAAAATGTGCTTGTTTGATGTTCAAGAACCAATGATGTTTGTTCTCGTTCTTCAAGCATGCATGTTTGATCTTCCATTTACCATATTTAATGTGCATCGCTCACTGTTCATATGTGAATTAAAGCTTATATTAAATCTGTTCATTATATAAAGGGATTGTGTCTTTTGGATTAAACCACTGCAGTACTATTTGCACTCCAGGAACCTTTTTCTATTGTAATTGTAAAATGTCATTTATTCCTGTGATCATAGTGGAATTTTCAGCATAATTACTCCAGTGTTCAGTGTCACACGATAAAATAAAAATAAAGAGGATGGATAGAGCAAAACCTATGGATAAAGTACTGGAGTACTCAAAAAGTACTTTCAAAGGATGGACAGAAATATCTTTTTTGTTTTGAAGATGAACAAAAGATTTATGGGTTTACAGCAACATGACGAAGAGCAATCGATGACAAAATGTTTGCGTGAACTAACCTTTTAAGGTGTTGCTCAAATATCGATATATTCACAATTATTTTTTCCCTCACTATATTGTGTTAATAATACGATCATTATTTTATTTACTCCTTTATGTGGGCCTTTACATAACTGTTTACGGTTTAGTGAAGAAGGTCATTCAAATAAGTGCAATCATTTGTGAATTGCACAAAATCTTTATGTACTATATGTAAAATGATGTATTGCGATGTGACATACTGTAAATATACAGACTTGTCACAATCCTCACAGAGTCTCCCTGACATGTCTCTTTCTGTTTCCAAACTGGTGACAGGTTGTTCACTTGGAAATACTTTTGAGGTTAAAGTTATTTTAAAGCATAAACCAACATCAGGTGACTCGGTTTGTAACCAAACTAAAGGCTAGGAATGATTTTGGAAGGAATGGGGATATATTATAATTTCACAAGGCTCATGAATGACACTTTGTTCCCTCTGGTATTCTATGCATCCAATATTCAAGAGAACTGTAACATTACGTGACAGGATTTGCTGAAATGCTAAAGTTGGTTGTTGGATGCCAGTGGGATTACAATACTGTTTAAAGTGTAAGTTTGATCACAAGTATTCCTGTTACACAATTCGAATTTATTATCATCATCATCAGTGTTGAAAACAGTTGTGCTGCTTCATATGTTTGATACTTTTACATACAACGGTTGCTGCACCCCTTAAAATCACAATTAAACGGAAGTTCTTGTCTTCCGTATTGTGACCTACATCTGAGTATAATGGATTATCAGAATCAAAAAAAAAAAGTAAGGTGGAGACTTGGTTTTATGCATCTGTTGTTGATTGGATGCTGAGATGTGAGCGTGGCACTAAAGTAGAGGCAAATGAATGTGAGTTTGTAGGGGCGGAGTTTAAGCTGAATAAAAGAGGGGAGAAGTCCTGCATACGTCACCAGAGGGAAGTCTGTTGTTTTCACTAGAAGATCAAGTTATGACATATCCACAGATGTATATCCACATGTGGGCTTTATTGAAAGTAACTTAGATATTCTCTGACCCACCTGTGGGTGACGGTCTTCAACAGGTTCCAGAAGACGGGCTGAGGAAGTGCTCCTCGTGACCCTCCTTTGCGTACGTGACTTCCATCAAACCGGATGAACTTGCTCTTGATTCCATGGATGAAGACGGCCTCCAAAGCACAACACAGCAGGTTAGCCTCCAGGTCCTCGCTGGTGACCGCCGTGTCTGTGGTGATGTAACGCTTCTGCAGGACTTTTAGTGTCCGTGCGATCTTGTCCTTGATCCACTGAGGAGAACAGAAGGGTTAATAAAAAGGGGTTTTCTTGGACCAGACGTCAAAACAAAAGAACCAGGGAGGGAAATACCAGGAAAGACATGAAATCAATAGCTAGTGATTTAATGATACCGCCCAGTCAAAATCAATAATACTGTTTAAGGGTCTGTAATTTCTATTGATTTGCATCGTTGCTGTGAGATCAGGTCACTGGAACCATCCTGCCATCTAGGTCAGCAGACCAAATCAAGCAAGGAACTTCTAGAACAAAACAACTTCACAAGATGTGGAGTAAGCATTGCGCAGCCTCTTGAGGATCTCGGTCAAGAGGGCAGAATGGAGAAGTCATCGTGCTCTGCCAAGTGAACGTGAGCCAACCTTCAGACAGACGGTCACCTGATGCTGTCAGCTGACTGACTACCTATGAGCCAAAGCACTGACAGTCACAGCTGTGGAAATTCAACACAGCACCTTTAAGTCAAATGACATGCAAATAGTGGTCATGTTTCTGGGAGGGATTAAGCCAAGTCTTGAAGGCTCAGTCATAAGCACTTTAGACAAATGAGGAAATTCTGGCTCAGATCAGATCTGGCTTGTTGCATGTGTATAAACAGCAAAACACATACAAAAACTACCTCTTTAAAAAGACTGGATAGTTCTGAAGCAATTACTTTATTTGTGACAATATAAATATACAAAGACTGCTATTTTATATTCTGGGTTGATGATAATATTGATGTTAAAAACTTGAAAGACCCCCTTTTATATAAGACACCATCAGGTGTACAAATGCAGACTTTTCAGGTTAAATTATTTGAATAAAATTCCTCCTGTTCGCTTGGCATTAAATTACCATTAAATCATATACAATCGTTTAGGGTGATCATACACAGAAAACTATTAAAGGGTTAGTTCACCCAAAAATGAAAATTCTGTCATTAATTACTCACCCTCATGTCGTTTCAAACCGTTTGCGTCACGCCGGATCTGTTTCCTACGTTGTTGTGATTTGACCTGAACGGAAACAGCGTATCCGTGTGACACAGCTGACACTGAACAGCATACGCTGTTTACACCCAGCGGATATTCTCCAAAATGGCACCAGGGTGATGCGGAGGAGACGAATTGTTGAATAAAGTCGGGGTTTTTTTCCTTTCTTTTGCGCACACAAAAAGTATTCTCGTAGCTTCGTATAATTGCGGATGAACCACTGATGTCACATGGATTATTTTACCGATCTCCCAGAAGTTTCTGGACTTGGGAACATTTCAGTTGCATTGGTGTCTATGCAGGGTCAGACAGCTCTCAGATTCCATCAGAAATATCTTAATTTGTGTTCCGAAGATGAACGAAGGTCTTACGGGTTTGAAACGACATGAGGGTGAGTAATTAATGACAGAATTTTCATTTTTGGGTGAACTAACCTTTTAAACTCATGTATTAATTTAGTTGGAAAGGTATATATTCTGAAAATCAAGGATAATAAAGATTTGTATTTATATGCTTTTAAAATATTTTCAAAACATTTGTTCGAAAAAAAAAATTGTACCACAGTTCGTAGATCGGGAAGGATTTCCGGCAAACATTCAAACATAATTTTAATAATAATCAATTAATTAATAATAATAATATTGTATTGTTGATGTTTATTTTGTTTTCAAAAATAAAGAATAATCGGTTATCGTATCGGCCAAAATTTTCATATCGGTGCATCCCTAAACAAAATCAAGAAAAACTAAAGAGCTAACAAAACAGTTGCTCAGGTAAATATAAACAGAAAGCACAAAAAAAAATGATCTAATATTTGTCAAAATAATTAATCTGTCTATTAAGCCTAGCAGGGAAAATATAGCTATTGAATTGAAACGGTTTTGTTCAAACCCTTCGTCTTGCTTTCGTTATCCATTTCTGTAAGCGAACTGAATATAAAGCACCACTGAACTGCAGTTAATAGCAAAATCTCAAGCAAATAAAGAGGAAATGGCCAGAAAGAAAATCTCTCTCATGAAGGCATTACATGTCTGGTTTCTATTCTGTGTGCGGTCTGACTTCTACAAGACAACAAGCAAACTGTGGCTTCTTATAAACTCGTTTTAATAAACTCTATTAGAATATTAGAATGATTAGAATTAGAACCGACAGAAATGGTGCTTACATGCAAATGACGCACTTGTGTCGCTTTACCTGTGCATATAAGCTGTGATAGAAGAAAGGAGAAGTATAGCAGGCATCATCTTTGATTTAACGCTGGTTTCCAAAAACAAATCCAGGTTCATTACATGACCTCTACCAAGAACCTGCTCAACGGGTTTCAAGAGATGTGAAAGGTTTGCTAGCAATGACACCGTAACATCCACAATCCAAATAATCTTCGAAAAGATGAGGAAGTTACAAACCTGTTTAACATCTCTCGCTTCGGGGCCGCTCTCAGGTGTTTGGGTGGCCAACATGGCTCCTCTAGCTTCAGTTAGTCCCACTTTACACACTACAAAACACACAGACAAATGACTAAATCGCAGAGTGTAACACAACTGTAACGGTAACTGTTTTGTGTCTGTAACTCACTCAGACTCGGTGTATCTCAAACTTTATAATATTCCCATTATATGTTACAATCTAAACTTAAGTTGCTTTAAAATCTTATCAGAGTAAATCTGAATATTTGACTCTGAATCGGAGTAAATTAATGCGCACTACCACATGGCATGCAAAACCGTCTACATTTTTTACATATTGGTAACATTTTCACCAGAAGCAAATACAGAAATAATGTAAAACATAACAGACAGAATGTGTGTGTTAGTCACTCTTTTATGTTGTGCCATATATGAAAATTCAGTAACAGTACAATGGAAAGTGTCACAACCCTCCCTGTTTGCTCAGCTATTATGTTTTTTACACAAGTAGATGAAATGCTTTTGTGACTGTTTTATGTTAATAAACTTCTGATTTAAATGATACCAGTTCATGTATCTGTAGATCATTTATAGGTTGTTAAACTGATGGTGTTACGACTCACCCCATGCATGTTACGCTCCCTAAACATGATCATATAATAAAAGAGGTTAGATAGTAGCTTATAAAAACACAATGAGGAGAAGAAGAATAGTACACTCTAAAAAATGCTGGGTTAAATACAACCCAGTGCTGGGTCAAAACAACCCAATTGCTGGGTTTGTCCCTATTTTACCCAGCGCTGGGTTGTTGTATTTTACCCAGCGCTGGGTTGTTGTATTTTACCCAGCGCTGGGTTGTTGTATTTTACCCAGCGCTGGGTTGTTGTATTTTACCCAGCGCTGGGTTGTTGTATTTTACCCAGCGCTGGGTTGTTGTATTTTACCCAGCGCTGGGTTGTTGTATTTTACCCAGCGCTGGGTTGTTGTATTTTACCCAGCGCTGGGTTGTTGTATTTTACCCAGCGCTGGGTTGTTGTATTTTACCCAGCGCTGGGTTGTTGTATTTTACCCAGCGCTGGGTTGTTGTATTTTACCCAGCGCTGGGTTGTTGTATTTTACCCAGCGCTGGGTTGTTGTATTTTACCCAGCGCTGGGTTGTTGTATTTTACCCAGCGCTGGGTTGTTGTATTTTACCCAGCGCTGGGTTGTTGTATTTTACCCAGCGCTGGGTTGTTGTATTTTACCCAGCGCTGGGTTGTTGTATTTTACCCAGCGCTGGGTTGTTGTATTTTACCCAGCGCTGGGTTGTTGTATTTTACCCAGCGCTGGGTTGTTGTATTTTACCCAGCGCTGGGTTGTTGTATTTTACCCAGCGCTGGGTTGTTGTATTTTACCCAGCGCTGGGTTGTTGTATTTTACCCAGCGCTGGGTTGTTGTATTTTACCCAGCGCTGGGCTGTTGTATTTTACCCAGCATTTTTTAGAGTGCATGTTTAATATACTGGCAGTCTTTGTTAGGTAGTAAATAGTGGAAGTGATACACACATCCCTGCCAGTTTCCCCTAACAGCAGACAGATTCCCCGTCACACGTCAGTGAAGTACAAGAGCATGCCGACATCTTCATTTTACATCAAAGTACATCCGGAGTCATTGTAGACAGGTGCACTTAATTATATTGATTGTGTGCTTGTAAACTTAAAAGTATATATATAAAAAAAGAACAGTTCTTTCAGATAATATAGTATTAATGAAATACAAGACCACTCAAGTGTACCTTAAAGAGGGTGCACTTGTTCCTTAACACACTTAAGTGCATTTTTAAAAAGTGCTCTTTGTAATAATGTCAAATGAAAGGTTTTACTTTCAAGAATATTTTAAATCGTTACGTTTTAATAATTGTTTATCATGCTTTAAAAAATAAATAATTTGAATTTTAACTGTAGTGTTATAAAATATTTCACGTTTAAATAGAAATGACATTCAAGTACATTTTAGTTTACCGTGAATGTCTGTCAGCACATTTAAACCAGATTTCAACGCCAACTTAATTATACATTTACATATAAAGATGTACTAAGTTCAAGTTCACAAATAATATTACATTCAGTTCGTACTTAAGTAAACTCTTTTAAACTAGCCTATATTAAATACATGCAAGTGTACTTCTTGTCAAAAAGACTTTTAAAGGAACTTTACTAGACTTATCTAGAAGACACAAAACAGCACAAAATTCATAACACCTCACTGAAATAGAACATAATAATATCACAATAATCCCTCCCAAAGCACGTGGTCTCAAATGTATTTTATTTCATCTCGTACACATGCTCTTACGAAAATTAACCATGGTTTTACTACAAATAAACCCAAAAAACATGGGTAACCACACATTAACCATGATTTTGCGACACTAACCATAGTTTAAGCATGGTATTTGTAGTAAAACCGTGGTTATACAAACTCAGTATGCCTAAAAAGCATGGTAACTACACTTTCACTACAGTAAAACCATGGTTAATTTTCGTAAGAGTTGAGAAACATCCAAACGCCCTGAAACGAGAGAGACAGAGAGACACACACACACACACACACACACACACACACACACACACACACACACACACACACACACACACACACACACACACACACACACACACACACACACACACACACACACACACACTTTCTTATTGCTCGTGAATCCGGTTAAATGAACACAAAACAGCAGACAATTCGCCTTTTCATTATTATTGCTAATAGAATCAGCACAATAAGCTCGTAAACTCACCATGTTTGCTCTGCGTTTATTTGTCGCGTGATCTCTGTCACTCTCCTTCGCTGATCCGGGAACACAGAAGCGGGCAGGCGATATAGATGTGGTCAGATCAGCTGACGCGAAAGGCAGCATGGGAAACTAACGCAAGGTTCGCCGTGTTCCTGTTGACGAGCAGTGCTATTGCGCAACTGTTGCGCAGCATTGAGTGTGCTGAGGACTCCAGCGAGAGACGGGACTATGGGATGATATTAGACTCAAAATGATTAATAGACGCACGCACAATTATTCATGTACTGCATACATTTTATACATGTATCTTACTAACCACAAACAAATGCCTTTCAATTTGAGTCTGTGGAATTCAGGATTAAATGATTGTGCAGGGATTTGTACAAATACAGACATGTTTTCGATTGTAAATG